TTTTTATTGTTTTGAAAAATTTACTTTTTCGATTTTTAAAACTATTTTCATCCATTATTATTTATTTACTACTTGACTATATTGAAATATCTAATAATAATTTATATACTACGTCGATTGATGACTTTATTTTATGTATAAAACAACTATCTTCTTATAAATTAATAATACTAATTATTATTCAATTCAGGCGTATGAAATGTATCAGTTAACCATTACGTCTATATATTATCAAATCACGTAATCTTGTTTTTAATTGGTATTGCCAAGTATATTTAACAATTCGAATTAAAAGCGAAACTTCTGAAATAAAATATTCTGAATCTATAACACCGGAAGAATTTCCGATTATGCTCTTTGATTTCATTTTACATAATATTTTTACTTGTTTATTTTTTATGGATTCATCACGTGTGTAAGAATTTGTATTGGTAAAGATTTTTTAATTGAACTATTACAAGACTAAACAATATTATGCGCCCAAACATTTTAAAACGGTTATATATTATGATTTTTGACATTATTCAAAATAATTATGATAAATATATTAATCTAATACATGCATCTATTGAAGAAAGTAAGTGATTTGCATTGCTGCAGGTGTATGAAAAACTCGCTAAGACATTTTGAGAGCAAATCGTGTGTCGAAGTGGGACACACTGGTCGACAACGTTCTAAGTTATACAGCACTTGAATTTTACAGTTCATACACCAGAAACAGAAACGACATTGATGCAATATTTCTAGAAAAATGAAAGTAATTTGCTCAGAATTATAATATGTATCTGGTATAGTTTTACGTTGTAAAACAGGTCGGCAAGTCTAATTTATATTGGCAGTATACTAGTATACCCGCTTTTTAAAACCATTATTTTATTCTATTACTATAAAAAAGATAAAGATTATTTATACCGGTAGAGTACTAGCTAAGTAAAAAAAAAAAAAATGGAGTAAAAATGATGAAAATGGCGTATGTAATTTGTACTTCATTTATTAATTACATAATATGTCGACTACTGTAAATAGTACTCTACTTTGACTTTTTTAATATATTTATATTTGGTGAGTAAAGGAAGAATGAGTTCTTTTCTGCTGTGTAATAACTCTACTATAGTAAACTAAGTTGTTTTTAACATTATAGTGGTATCTATGATCATCATTCTTTTGAAGTCTCGTTTATTTTTCCACGATTTCCATTATTTTTTATTTATAAGTTGGTAAATATTGGTCAATAAAACACATTACTACTTTTGTATCCCGGTTTGCATTTTTAAAAACAATAATAATTATTTATGTGAGAATTTCATTAGCGAAAAATTGTTATTTTGTGACCTCCCGACATAGGTTTGCACTCGGAAAGTTTTAAATTGTGAGTTGCTTTAACGACGAAATTAAGAGCAGAGGTCACAAAATATAATATATGTTGTGCAAAATACAATAATTTAATTTGAAATAAATTATTTCTCAAGGTCTCGTTGGACCGTTCCATTAGTCTTTGGAGTTGTTCTACAACTTGCTCTGTGGTTCAGTTGTTCATTCAGTGATACACGATTAAATTGAGGTAGAAGTTTAGATCTGTAAAGAAGGTGGAACAAGCGTAGGAGTTCGCTGAAATATATGATGGCTTTTTTGAGTAGTATCAATAAGTTAAAAATGGTGCGTGGACCTCGCAGTATCGGTTGGAGTACTTTGCTCTCCGCGGATTTTACAAATACAGACGAAACCAGTACAATGCACTCTTACAGTCGACTAGTGATTACTATTTACATAAAAACTATAATTATAGGCAATGATAATCAAAATATAGATGATGATTGAACATAAATGTGTTAATGGTACTCAATTATTGTTCTTGAATTTAGTACTCGATAAAAATAGCAAACATGGTATTGAATGGTCCATACAACTACATGATAAACGAATAAATACACCAAATGAGTCATTTATACATAGTTTAATGTTTTGCTCGTAAATATTCTACCATTTTCAGTAAATTAGCATGTTGCTCAGATTTTTTTAGTTACTCACTCATTGAATAGTAATAGTTTAACTACCTTTCAATTTCCTGTCTTATTATTTAAACTTAACAAAAATAATTTTTAGAGTAAAAAAGGTCATATGATGTTGTTTGACTACTAAATATTTTAATTTTTAATTTTCTATTTTTGGTAACTTGATGACAGTTGAAACTAATGCACTTTTAGTCTAGATCTCGGTGATTATTACGTCAAGGATTAACCATATTAAAATAATCAATTATTTGAAGTGTAACGTAAAATCCACAATAATGTATATAATAGAACATTGACATAACCTTAACTTGTAGTAAATACACAACTTATATTTATTAGGTAAATGTCATTTTGGATATTCGTGTGTAAGGTATATTTGTTTTTATATTGTTATTGTTTTTTAAAAAATAAACTTTAAACGAATATTCTTACCATTAAATTAATTAATTAGTAAAATAAATTTACTGATCGTAATATTCAGACAAAAAAAAATATATATTTTTATATAGATATATTTTTAACCTTATTGCAAAAATTAAAAGTCTTATCTACTCTATCTCTACACTATGCTTAACAGAAAATTGTTTCTAAGAACCGCGTCGGCATATTGAATGGAAAGAAAGTGTAAATCGAAGCAACGGCATAAGCTATTTTTTTTTACTATAATAATTCTGCGTATCTAAACGATTATTTTTTTCTTCATGCGCTTTATTTACTCATTTAGAGCCATACGTTTTCCATTGGTCTCTCTAATAGCCAATTATAAAATATATTACCTGAACCTCTTCATAATTGTACGATATTATCATTTATAAATGTATTTATTTTAAATATATTTCTTATCCCATCAAGGCTTTTTGGATTACAAAAAAATTCAGATAAATTTTTTAATGAAAAATAAATTGAATAGCATAAATTTAAAGTGTATACTAATTAATTTATATAATGTCTACCTAATTCATAAAGAGCGTTGTTAATAAAATAACAATTTAATAGCTTGATTAATTAATTAAAAGAGTATATTTCAAAAAGAAAAAACATTGTATTTAATTTTAACTTCGGTTTTGCTGTATAAATTATTTGTGTGTACTATATTAATATAAAATAATACATATATATATATATATATTTCTTTATAAGTAATAAATGCTTTTATTAATAAATTTCCAGGCTTTTTACTACAAATAATACAATTTAAAAATTTTCTTTTCAACTTTAAAATGTCGTTAAAATCTCCAATTGTATTATGATGTAGTTTATTTTTGTAATTAAAACCAATAATGATATTTTAAGTGCACTTAGTAATATTTTTCTAATAATGTTTATTCCAAAACTCATCAACATCGTAAGACATTTTATTATGTGAGTAATTAGAAAATGTTATTTACGGGAGCTAATCAAGTGACGACGCTAAATTCTTTTGCTTTAAATAAATTATATTTTATTATAACAAATTTACTACTGAATAATATAGAAAATATGGTAATGCTAATTTAGCGATGTGTATCTAATGTGTGTTTAATAAACGTGACCTTCGCGAATTGTAATGTGTTGGTATATAAAAATATTCAAGGGGTGTGGGTTGTTATGTTTGTTATTTATTTTGCATTGTATTAAGTTTTGAGCATTAGTAAATGTTACTATTGATAAATGTCGTATTATATTTATAATTAATTTGTTCTTAGTAAGTTGTAAATTCAATACCTTGTACCTAGTATACTGTAAATGCTTTAAATGTATAATTTAAAATTAAAGACTATTATACGATTTTATCATTTTCCTTGATGCACAACCGTGACAATAGTTATAACATGTTTATGATGATGTTGTTAATACAGTTTTTTTTGTTTCGTTTGATGTAACACATAAAAAACAAGGTTAAGCATAGTATAAGAGACGAGGTTAACAATAATATGCAGATAAATAGATTTAGACAGAGGAATTGCAACGAGGGAGAGTTAATGTAGCGACCTAGAAAAGTATAAAGAGAAAATGTTTTTGCCTGTGTTTACAGTAAAAAATATTAGACAATAATAACCATTAATCCGTTAAAATATAAATTGATTATCAAAGATAACCTGGTATTTATGTTTAAGTAGCTATACATATACGTTACAACTAATTAGTATACACACTGTATATATAGAGTGTTCAGTAAGTAAGGAAAAGGGTCTCTATTATTCACAATGTTTCAAATAATTTACCTGTTTCCTTACTCTTTGAACACCCTGTATATAAAGTTCGTTAACTTTCAATCTTAACCTATTTAGCAAATGTTTCGTAAAAATCAATAGCTAAAGATCTTTTAGAGTAAGATATGAGTTGTTAGTGTTGCGTGTGAGATGTGATTTGTATAAACGTACTTAAATTTATTTTTTTTTATTCTTTTTGAGTCAGGAGTTATATCCAATTTTTCAAACAGTGAGAAAATAATTAATAATAAATAATTTATTGAATCATTCAATAAATACTAACTCTTAATTTTACTTTTGTATATCTTAGGTATAGATATTTATTTAGACATATACCTAAGATATTTGCGATATTAAAAATCATATATTGATTTTTATTCGAGGAATAATAAGGTAAAGTCGAATTTTTTTTTGGGCTACGACAGAAAAAGTCTTGTATATGGCAACCCCCAATCATAAGTTCTAAAATGTACTGCAATTGTATTTCATTAAGTAATATGTACGACTAATAACAATTAATCAGATAAAATAAATAATATTTTATTTGACAATAATGTAGTTCCTACTAATCCTTTTTATTTTCAGAAAAAAATATTTATTTTAAATTATATTAGGAAAAATATTTGGCGAGGATTCGTAAAGAGGACGCAAGAGTAAATAGTTAACAAACTAAAAAAAGTACAATCATATATAAAACAATTTAAAAAAAGCAAATTAAAATATGTGAAATCGTTTTAAAATATGTGTGTATTAATATGTAGTAAAATAATTAATTAATATTTAGATAAAATCTTACCTATTTTTCCAAAAAACCTTTTTTAGATCCCGCAATGTCAAATAAAATTATGAGCCCATAGCTATAAGATGATGACCGTAAAACAGTATGTTATTCACTTAGAACAAGAAACCGTGTTGTAATTTTCAAATTTGAATTTTAAAACGAACTCGATAATTGTTGCCCCGGTTTATCTTCGATATTAAATTGTGTTAACACACCGAAGTACACCGATCGCACGTCTACCTGTAAATGGTTTCGGACGCTACACTGAAACACACGTTCTTTAGTTGACCGGGTAACGGTAATGGCCGCCTGGTACAACAACTCTTTCACTTTGCCCCCGCCGCTTATCAGGACACAACACACATTTTGACTGAATATCATTACAAAGAATAGGTTAATGGTTTCCGTAAATACTATATATCTTCGAACACTACTTACAAGCGTTAAGTAAAGCCAACTTAAAATTTAATGGGTGTCACTGTTTTTTTTTGTATTAGATGTAGTTCAAATTTTTTAATTAATACATATGAGTCCTAAAATAACTTATTTTTATATATAATTTTGTAATACAACAAATATATCGTAGATAAACACATTAATATAAAACTAATTCATGCTTCTAAAATTATGTCATCATACTAAATTTTGTTATTTATCTTAACTCAATTATTGATGCAAGGTAAATAATTTGACTTAAAACGACTAGAACAACTATTTTATCATTATAATAGTTGGGGCTCAGATGTCGTAACAGTAAAAACCTTAAAAATTGATTTCCCTTAATAAAATTGTTCTGAAAATTAAATTACTTTAATAAAAGATACTTATGTATAGATCATAAATAATTTTAAATATTTAGAATAGAGAATAATACAGTATATTAAATCTTTTATAAAATAGGTTCTTTAAAACTTTTTATTTGAATACAAATTTTAGATAAAAAAAAAAAAACACATGTGTTATATTGTCATACAGATTTTAAAATGTATTATTTTGTACATAAAACGCTAGTTTTTTAATTAGAAGATAGTAAGATTTTGTACATACGCAAACTATGTTTTACATCAACTGAGATCATAATTGAAATAAGTTACCTACAGCATGTGTTGATAAATCTTTTGGTAGTCTCATTCGATGTGGTAGTTCTTTCGTTTAAAGCAATTAATGCAATTTGTTGAATCACATCAAATATATAGATTTATTTCCAAAATATTCTTGAATTTTTCATTTATTAACGTACTGATATTCAGTGCTATATTTATGGAAGGATATTTGGTAAAAATGGGAAGCCCCCGATAAATAACAGTTGTATATAATTTATAATAAATTGGGAAAAATTATAATTGACTGATTAATAAAAACAGGTTTAAAATCGACTACTAATTATTTAACAAAAAGTTATTTAAAATATAATTTTAAAATACATTTTATAAATGAGTATCATAAAATATACAATATATTACAACGTGCAGATATAAAATCGTATCCTAATAAAAACTGTGCGTGGACTAAAAATAAATAAAAGCTCATAACTCTGTCAAAAACCAATGGATTTCAACAACATTTTCATGGTACCTTTGGAATAATTATAGATGAGTATGATAATTTTCATGTCTTAAGTTAAAAAATACTGGTTGTAATGAGCGTTTTTCTTAGCAATAAATGGAGTTTATAATAAAAAATTACACAAGCAACGACAACCGAGTCCATTTATATCACTATTGATAATAGTGATATAAATAAGTAATTTTTAGAAATCTAACTGTTATTATAATTAATAGATTGCCTGGTATAACATAAATACTGTAGATAAAAATTCGAATTAACATTTGTCTGCATTTTTTAAGCACAAATTTCTTATTTAGATAAATGTTAAAATTTTTTTATTATGTGGCATATGCGTTTAGGTCAATTTCAATAATTTAATTGATTTTATAAACCAGTAAAGCTAGAATGAACAATTCTATGGTACAATCATTTAAAATTATTAAAGTTATTTGAAAAAATAATTTATGTGGTGAGTTCATTGGAATTAAATGATGAACTTTATTAATTTTTAAGTGTGTGCGAATTATGTTGGAAAATATATTACTCCATTATTTAATATAACATATATAGTTCCATAAATGTGTTACTTTTGCTGGTTCAGTTTAAAAGTTATTCAAAGAGTTGTCCAAGTGATCAATACTTGTTATTTTTATATATTTTTGACATAAAAACATTTGTTTATAATTTAATGTGGCCTTTCTAAAGTTTTACAGTTTAAGTAATTTAAATATATGTAGAAATAATTTGAAAGAAGCAGTAATTTTATCCTACAATTTAAAGTATCTTACAAATTACCTATCAAAATTTTACAAAACAAAAATTTTTTATATACGACAAATCGATAAATTTAATTTTTTTAAACTATGGTAGTTAATAAAATATATTTATCAGTTTTTCTAGTGTACAGTAAAAAAATCAAATAAATTAGATTTTAGTATTTTATTCATTATTCAATAATTCATTAAATTGGGTGTACATCAATTAAAATCTATATTTATGTATCTATACTTTGGGTCAAGAATGTCTTTTCTACATAAAAGGAAAAAACTTTTACTAATTTTAAATAATTACTATGGAATTATTGAGTATATTAGCAACATGATTTAAGTTTAGACATTATTTATGTTTACTTTAGTAGAATGAAATTTCTTTTTTAAGCTATAATTGAGATGATATTACCAATATACTTAAAAATCAACAAAAAAATATAGAATATCATACGCCGATAAAAATCATTTAGAATTATATATTTCAAATTTATGTTATGTAAACTGGTATTATTATTGTTTGTCACCATTTTAAATTTAAAAAAAGTATGATACTTTAATGATTATGCACTCCGGAACTCAATGACTCATTAAAAGTATTTTATTATTTCCTTTGTGTGTATAGTAGCGAGTATAATTGTATCTGGTATAGGAATAACATATACTACATGCATTTACAAGGCATGATTCATCAGTCCTGAAATTGTTTATTAAACGATTTGGAAAATCGGCAGCTCAATCATATCAATACACATAATCATTAGAATGTATGAACTTCTTATTGTATGAAATATGTACTAATACATATTAAAATTCATTCAGATTCTTTTTGGACTAGCCCATTATAATATTCCTAACTTTTTGTATTAATGTCGTTTAGCCATTTTTCATTTTTTCAGTCTAATAAATATTAGTTCTTGAGTTATTGACAAAATTTAAAAGAAATAAGTGATTTTGTTTAATTTTTATTGAAATTGCTTATATAAAACTAAACTTAAATATTTTAAATCACAATTTGCCAGTATTGTATTGATGAAAATAAGAATTAAAACCAATTCATTTTTTCAGTAATTTAAAAAAAAATATAAAGTACTAATCTTTAAAAACGTTATTCTATGATGGTTGTAAAAATATTTTTAAGGATTTCTTTTATTTAAGAAAATGTTGATTTTGGAAATGTTTAATATTCTTGTACTATAGTATTAAATACCTGCTGGTACATTGTATTACCGGATGAAATGAGTAAATGATTGGAATACAGCGTATTAGCGTAGTTTGTTTGGGGGTTGTAAGAGCTTAAACCTTTATCTTCAATTTACGGATTAATGTCTAAAACATATTGTGATATAAAAATATTTTTAGGAAGTGTAAAAATGAAATTTTCCAACATTTTTTTTCACATTGACCCTGTGCTCTGAATTAGTTGATTGAATTTCTTTCCGTATATAGGTTAGACAATTTAATATGCTTGAATGTTTTTTATTACACTACTCTTGAAACGCCTTAAATACTGTTTTATAATATTTATATTATTTGAATACAAAATTTTATTACTAGTATATTATTTTATATTGTCTAAGGGCAGGTCAAATTAAAAGATATAACAATAGAATGATATCAGAAAGCAAATTCAAGTACAAATATTTGTGATTGGCACGGTAAAAGCATATGATTTGTGTCGATGCTAGGTTTTGCAGGGCTCGGTGCCTATTTGAAAGGGGCCTCTGTGCTATGATGGACTGGGTTGAAGTGGGAAATTTTCCTCTAGTAGAAACAATTACAAAAATAATTTTTGTAAATGACCAATCTAGCAAAATTTATCTTATTTTTAGTAACTATGGCACGGTCATGCGTCGTTTCGTAATACAAGGAGACCTGCGACCCGCGCCACCTTTGACAGCCGTTGCCCAACAACGGATTGGATAACGGGTTGGTTTGACTGACCAACACCGCAAGCTATTCGCCACGGTGCAAAGTCCAGCAAGTACCACACAATCGACGACCACCCGGTGCCATTATACGTTGATTCTTAATCACTTTGTCGAAATGATGATGTCCTGGATGTCAATAAATCAAAATAGTCAGCATTATTTTATTTGTAAATAAGCCTATATTTAATAAATTATAATATGCAAAACATAATTTATATTACAATTTCGTTGTATAATTATTTTGCATCTTTTTTATTAAATTGTATTTAAATTTGTAAATTTAAAAAATGATGTGAGAATGAATTCACATTGATCAATAGCTTTATTTAGTGAGAAATATTATTTTAATATATTTACTATTTTATATATTTTATAGATAGTGAATTAATTTGATTTACATTATAAATTAGATAAAAAATGAAAAAAACACAATAGGGACAAGTATAAATGATGTTAAACAATGATTCCACTATCATAAAAAAATCTTCTATGCAAATATATAGATATGTTTAATTTTAAGAAGGAGTTATTGAATAATTCCAAAAGCAACATAAACTCCTGATTACAAGTTTCATTGACTAATTTAGTATTGTAATTAAAGAGAAATTATAAAAACTTATAAACTTGTTGTATACGAGTCGATTAATATTAGATAATCGATTTCTCTTAAAATGATAATTATATTAAGATTAAAATTATATTATTATATGTATCTCCATTTACCTGTTACAAAATATGTTTTATGCTCATCCCTTATGTCTTATAAGAGTGTCAACTTTATTTTTTTTAATGGCAACATTCATATGTAACCAACTTATAAGAAATAAAATGATCTAATTAAGAAAATGACTGGTCGATAAACTTTTGAATCAGTATTTCAGATGTTATTTATAATTTAAAGTAACGATTGGAGGTCATGAGTGAGTACTACTATTTTTATCACTAGACATTTATTGGCCTCAATTGACCTACCGCATTGGTATAAAAATGTTAATAACTTTTAAATACTAGTTCAAAAGTTGTTATCGACCAGTTATATCAGATAAATGGATATACATATGTAACTAATAATAGCCAAAAAAAATTCACAAAAAAGTTATGATTTCAAGAAAAATCAAGTTACTAGTGTTAAAAAATTACTCTGTATACTTAAAAATAGTAAATAATTGATAAATTGAAATATATAAGTTATAATGAATTATTTGTAATTATGTTCAGAAGATAGGAAAATGAGGATCGCAGTCGATGAAGGCAGAACTTTTTATGTTTTCGATGTTTATAAAAGTGGAATTATCCTTTGGAGATATTTAGGAATTTTTCAGTTGGGTATGGTATTTATATAGCATCTTTATACTAACTAAAATCGAACAACTATAATTGTTTTGTAGTTTTTACTAAAACTACTACCGTCTTCGAGCTTACTAATTATTATAGTTGTTATTATGAGTATTAGATTACATTCAAAAATTATATTAAAAAAAGGAACTGATTTTTTTCTATAAGGTTTTCTATAAGAATTTAAAGTTTCATTTTAAATTGTGTGTATATTAGTAATGAATTTTTAAAAATAAGAATCAGTCTTTAGTTCATAATAATTGTAAGATTAGTATAATTTTTTTATAGGTATTTTTTTTAATAGCATATTTACAAAGTGTTTACGAGTTACTTATCGTTGAATTTTAATATTAAAGTATTTAATATATATTTTTGTATTTAATCAACTGGTCGTATTGAAGCATGTGCCTTATTTTCATGTACTAATTATGTATAAACATTTTTTTTCATTTTAAAATTTAGTTGTAAATATTCTTAAAATATTTTTAGCTTACAATTTGTAAGTATATATTATTGATGAATTATCAAATAAGTATCTTATTTAGTAATAAATTAAAAATGTTCATAAAATTATTTCAATAGGTATTTAATAAGAAAATTTACTAATAAATAAAAATTAATTTAGAAATTCTTCATAGGTAATTAGACTATCATAATATAATCATTTATATATATATAATAATTATTTGACACCGTACTGCTGCGCCCTGCTCTTGGTGGGCGATCACACATGTCTCTCTCAATATCAGCCATCCGCCTATAAAATGACAATCGGTGACTATGGTGTGTTCTCAGTACTTCACCGAAGCCAAGGCGACCGTCGATTATCAATAACGTTCTGTTTCGTTCCGACGGTCAAACTGACCGTTATGTTTGTTTTGCTGTCTTTTGGATTACGTATTAACTCCATCAATGTCCTTACATGTTATTTTGTTATTACTTTGTTTTTGTCATTCGGACACCTCAGTACTTTGAGATTTATCTATATACATATAAAGTAACATTGATATACCAATATAAGTTTGTCATCAATTAGTTTTGTGATATTTATTTTAATCCCTTTGTGCGTGTGAATAAAAAAACCCAGCATAGGTGGGTCTCGGCACAGTGGTGATGTGGCATAGTTGGGTCTAGTACAATGATATCTGACAGTGATTAAAATCACTATCATAAAAAACGCTATTTGGTCGTTTTGATTAAAGTTATGGCAGTTTTAAGTAAAAAAATTTCGAAAATTAGTGATTTTTAAATTTGTAATTTTTTTGGAGATTTTCCCTATTTATGGGAACTATTGAAATTTTTTCAATTTTTGAGGGTAAAGTCTTTAACTGGATACAATTTGTGATCTTTCAACGTATCGTTGAAAGAAATCGATTTGGTGAGAGCTGAGAAAAAGTGGTAACAAACACAAAAAAATAAATAAAAAAAAACACATCATAGTAAATTGAATACCTTTTCATTTTCGCATCGAAGCTAAAATATAAATTAAATTAAAATTATAACTTTATATAATGTATAATATAATATATATATATATTTATTACATTTTTAGGATAAAAACATAGGACAAAAAATCTTAATACTAGAAGTTTGTTGGAACTGGATTTTGTTTTTATTAATATGTTATTTTAATATGTATTGATTATATGAAGGGCCCAAACTTGAATGCTCTAAAAATATTAGAAGGGCATATAAAATAACAATATAATAGATTTCATTTAAAAAAATACAATATATAAAATCAATATTTAATTTACAATAAAAAATAAGTAATATTCGTTTAAACAAATTTGTTGTTTGATCTTGTTTATGATTTTACACTAAATAAAACCATAAATATCCCATTAAATTGGTATTTTACTTTAAATAATTCATTGTAATTTACCTGTTAAATTTTGAGCATTACATTAAAAAATTTGTACTGATTGATATTTTCAAATAATAAAGATCTTCTATTAAAAAATATTGTAATATGTAATAGAAATTTCACTAACGATTTTATACTAATTTAGTACAGTTTTATTAAATTCGAGTTATCCTATTATTTATTTGTCATTAAAATCATAATACAAAGTTCAGACCATAACTGCAATGTGTCTTACTTAATTTCAAGTTGTGTTATTAAGTATAACCCCTTACGCCATTTACTTTCAAACCGGGTTAAAAATAAATACTCTTGATCACGGTAGTAGAGAATAGAACCTCACCTTTACATATAACTCAAACCGTATTCACAAGACAAGATCATTGATTATTTTATAATTGTTATATCTTTTATTTTATATTCATATTAATTTCTCATTTTATAAATCGCTGTAATAAAATGAGACTTATAATCACGGTAATTATTAAATTCGCACCACTATATGTAAATATAATACAATTATTTAAAAATCTAATTGAATATTTTTGATAAAATAATTTTGTTTTTATTTTTTACTATGTTATTTTTTAGAAATAATGCCGCAACACTGTTTACCATTAGGTCTCTTCTTTTTCATATGTTGGTTTGTTTGTGAAATATGTCCAGTTGATGAAGTTTCATATGCTTCTAAACAAAGTAATTAATATACTTAATAGTATAATCATTTGAACTATAGAATGTATGACATATAATAAATTAATATGTCTGTATTTTATAGTAATTCGTACATAAATAAATTTTTAAAACAAGTAAGAACCAAATATTATATTTTATTTAGATAAAGTATTTTCGTTTTGGTTAAACAATTGCTCAGAAGCAGAATGGTTTGATGACCATCCATTGCCTTTACCAACATGGGGTATCTCAAAACCAGTCTTTACAATTTACTCCTTAGAAGAATACGAAGAGCTAGTAAGAAAATTGGAAAATGAATTACAGATATTGTTAAAATCGAAAAATATTGATTCAGTAACAAATTTTATTTGGTAACTTTATACTTCGCCATTAATTTGTGATATTAAAACATGTTGGGTTTATTTATCAAATTTTTTAGGTTTTACAATCACTATAAAAGTAAAATGGAAGATCAGTCATTCGATAAATTTTTCAGAGAATATGAACCAATGTTAAATGATAATGCAAATAATTGTGTTGGACTATCATTATTGTTAATTGGAAAATTAGCAAAACTTGATGAATTTTTTCCCGGAATTCGTGAATGTTTATACTTAGTGTCATGTGATAGAAATTGTAAAGTATGTTATTTTGTTTCAGATTAATAGGTTTTTAATAAATAATTATTTATTCATCTGTAAGTTATTAGGTTAGAAAATTTCAAATAGACAATAAGTTCATAAAACCATGGTTAAAACCAACAAGTCAACATATAACATAACTCTGCCAGTGGACTAAAAATACTATAATTAAATATTTTTTCAATAGTTTCTATGAAATTTGTAACACGCTATTAACCACATTAAAATGTGCAATCATGAAATTTAAATATTGTTGTTAAGGTTTTTTCTCACACTACTTCAACTGCACATCTTTAAAAGCACGTGTGAATTTATCATAAACAATTTACCTTTTTAAATTTTTTTTGATAATAGAAGTTTGTTAGTTAAGAAGTATTATAGTTTATTAACACCATATAGTATATTACAATATACTAATTACAAATATAATTGTAATTAGTTATAATTAATTGTGAAATAATGATTCTTAGGGTAGTACTTTATCTTCATAAAAATCATTGCCGTAGAAATAAAAAATAATTTTTTAATACTTTTATTGACGTTTGGAAATTTTTACAGAATATTGAAAAATACATTAGTGATATTCCAAATCCGTTATTAACAATTATAAAACATGTCTTGGTTTCTTTAAAAATTGAAATTTTCGGACGTAAAGGAGTTTTGCTATTAGATCCAGGTTATTCAATTGCTAGAGTTATAACTGTTATGAGTGATAATTTGAGTCCACATACAGGTAAATTTTTTCTTTCAATTATAGATTATGAAAGATAACGTTAAACATAAATCATAAAAAAAATATTCTTTACTTCAAATAAATAACTAATATATAACTTTTAGGTTATTTTCCTGCATCGACCAATGCAAAAAAAAGTTATATTTTTGAAATGGATTCTAGTGAGAGATATATTGAGTGGTTAACTTACTCCACAGATAAAATAGAAGACCATGCCTTAATTTATATAGATGCTCCTTATCTTTCACCTATTAGTGTAACTGAACGTAGAAACTTGGTTGACAATTATAGAGCTTTGTACTCGATGAATGAAAAAGGTCAATATTTGGCTCTATTTTATGTTCATGTCAATAATCCAGTTTTTCATTTTATTTATCAAGATTATAATCATGGTAATTTAGAAGATTGGCAACATATTAAAGTCCCGTATGAAGATTTTGTTTCAAACAAAGTAAATGAATATATATATATTAATTGAAATTAATATAAACGAAAAATAAATGATAAACACTATATAATATAAATTAATTAGATGAAAATTTTTTTTAGAGAATAAGCAATAANAAACGAAAAATAAATGATAAACACTATATAATATAAATTAATTAGATGAAAATTTTTTTTAGAGAATAAGCAATAAATTTGAAGTATTTTTGTGTCACTTTAGCGAACAATTTAAGCTAACAAAGGAAGAATTTCTAACAATGTTAATAACACTTGCTAACATTTTGAATGACGAACAGTTTTTAAACTATAGAAAAAGTACCGATGACAGAATTTTCAGAATTGCTAACTGGAATTAAATAAAAAATTTAAACCATCTAATAATCTATCATAATGAATTTTCTTATATTTTTCATTAATGTTTATAATAATAATAAGTTATTGTTTTAATATAAGCAATAAATAATTGTAATAATTATTTATAATTTATATATATGTATATAAAAGAAATTTTTCTTGTAAAATAATTCGTAATAATACTTTAAATCTTAAAAATTATTAATTGTCTAACATTGACTAACGTAACCATTATTGTATACAGTTTCTATACATAATGTCTTTACATTTAGGTCATACAATTTTTTTTCTTTTAATTATTATTTTATATGTAATTAATAAAATTAGAAGTGATAGAAAAAGTCTAATTGCAGATTTGAAAACATCGCGAAAAGTTGATTTAGAAAAGTATATATTTGTTGCTGCTGAAAGTTCCTTGTAGTCTAAAACTTATAACTTTGTTATAAGTAACAAAAATTACTACTTGAACTAGTTTACATAGTCGCCGACGTGTCTCGCCGTGCTGTACCCCTTGACCTGTCCTATCTACCGACCACCGGACAAGACAAACTCGAGGGGGCGGCATGACTGCCTCTGTCTCAGGCATTTCGCTTCCTCCTTTTTCAAGACGGATTCAGTGAATGCGTATAAGACTCTGACTTATAGTCTGGGCTACTACTTCCTCGGTCCTCACAGATTATGCATGAGTCCCGCCTACTATTCATGACTTTCTGGGCCCACTTTAGACTTTAGTCTACGACTAGGCCCAGATAAGTCATGGAATCCTTAAGCAGGATGGATATACCGCGTCGTGAGTGATGTTCCACAGCAGAGTCCTGAAAACAGACCCTTGCGGGACGCCGCCCGTTACGGATCTGAATCAACGACTTGCCGAGGTCTCTTATCTGACCCAGCTAGCTCGACAGGTAGATTGGCCGGACTTATGGGGAAATGACGTACCATCTGACCCAAGTGATGTCTAACCATGACTGCTTCAACGAATACCTTAACGGTATTTGTAAAGCAGCCTTGTCGCAAGTCGACCACTGTCGAGATTGCCTGGAAGAAGCGGATAATGCACTGCATAAGCTCTTCCGGTGCGAGGCATAGTCCCTTGAGCGGGACTCTTTTGAATCTCAAATAGGGTCCAGATTCGGTGTGAGGTCCATGGCGGACCTCATGTTGAGAAGCCAGGAGAGGAGGTCTCTCGTTCAGGCGTTCACTAAATCGGTAATGAGCTGAAAGGAAGAAGCGGATCGCCTCAGGTAGAGACTGACCCAAGGCCCTAGGCAGAATTACTTGCGGCGTTGGTTTCTTCCGGCACCGTAAGAATTTTGTATTGTGTTTCTTTGTTCTTCTTTTATATTTGTCCTGCCCCCATTTCCATGCATTGCAACCTGGGTAATGGATCTCACTCTAGGATTCGGCTAACGGGGGAGGTTACAACACGTTTTAAATTATATAGATGGCGTGGGTCGCTCTAAAGTGATTCCTAACGGCAGTTCCACAACAACGCCGGCGGTGAAATAAAAAAAAGGATATACTACTCCCTCTCAGACAACGCCCCTTCATCACAACCAGAGCGGTTGGTGTCATTCAGCAGTTTCCCCATTTTTACCCTACTTACACGTATACAAAAAAATGAAGAAATAATTTTTTGTTACGTTACATATTTAGAAAATATTTTTTGTTTAAAATTTTTTTGAAATTTTTGTTATTAAATAACGAATTTTATTTTGTTTGTTAAAAAGTAATTAATATTCGACAGATAAAAATTTTAATACCTGAACACTATTGTCGTAACACAAAAGTAAAAGTAAAGAGAACTATGATAATGAAGATGATGTGTATGTATTTACGGCGTTGATATTGAGTCTGCTGACTGGGTATTCATGTGCATGTAATCATACAGCAGTCGCCATGTTCGGCTGTCACTCCGGGTTAGCTGTGGGTTTCGAAAAGCCGTTGTTATAAGAAGGGAATAAGGGTAACACTTAGGTATGAGGTGCAGACGAAGTGCAAGACACAAGTACTCTGAAATGTTGAGTACGAGAGTAAGTAGGTAAAAAAGGAAAAAAAGGAAAAACAAAGACTTTAATTTAAACAGTAAGCCGAACAGCGACAACCGAGTACTGAGGCTGATGAATGACACAAGGCACTAGAGTCGACTGACCAAGATAAGCAGATCTTTTGGGTTTTTATAATAATTTAAATTATTGGCAATTTAGCAATAATAGTTAATTGTTTATTCGTCAGTCTCTAAAAGCGGATGTGTTGTCTGTATTTTGTTATAATAAATTCTCACAATAATGGTAACCTGACATCACACTATATTTAATCAATTTTTTTAAACCTTTATTTTGTATGATTTTAAAAGAAGTTAAAATATAATAATTATTGAAGATTAACTACCATATATTTTGTACTGACATCTAAATTGAACAACTATAATTTTTATAAAAATTACTGATTAAAATGAATGAAATAATTTTTATAGTAAATAGTACCAAAATTTGGTTACATGAAAAATGAGACTTGATATATTCGGAATTTATGGTTTTTATTTCATTAATTTTGTTAAGTTGCTTACAATAAATACATTTTCATAATTAATATTTATTTAATAATTAAAAAAAAAGGAATATAAGAATATGAAATAACGTTTTTATTGAAAATAAGTTTAATAGAATATTTATACCGTTTTCTAATGATTTAATAGCCAGATTAGTGTAATGTATAAATTATGATGACATGATATTATTATAATAAAAAATAAAATTTTTAAAATAAAATTTATAATTTTTTTTTTATGTTTATTACTGTACAGGTTTGTTATATACGGTGTATTATTATACGGAGTGATTTGTTATGCAAAATAATCCCCATTTTTGTTAAATAATGATATTTTTATAAAAATTTATAGATCAAAATTGCATATCATTTTATAAACCATTGTAAAAATTAAGAAATAATATTCTAGTAAAAATATTCCAAGAAAAAATAACCACAAAGGTATATTCAAATTTAAATGGAAAGATATTTGTATTTTTTACTTAAGATGGAAAATGGTTGAAATAAAATGTTAGTTAATAACCAGTTTTGTATAATTACTTTTTGACACAATAGCATCTGAAAATTTAGAAAATTGAGGAGCGTATGTCAAAAATCTAATTACTTCTTATAATCATAACGTGAGAATCCTTCTACCTTGTGCACTCCGATCGCCTGCAACTAAAAATTATAATAATCTAAGCAGTAATAATATAATACTGGTTATATATCAGTCAAATCTTAATTTAGACTATTCTTGATTTAGTTGTAAAAATTAATAATAGGTTCATACATAACTTTCAAAAGTTATTCCAACAATTTTAACTTAGAAATATTTTTTTTTGCAAAAATATTTACATTTATAATGGTTTTTAAAAATAAATTAAATTTTAATGTATGAATTTTTATGAAAAAATAGGGTTAGTATACTTAATAAATTACACTGTATATCAATGATTGAATATTATTATAATAATAAATGACATACTTTTATATATATATAAATGATTTAATATATTTATTCAATTGAACACACTATAAAATATGTATTAATTACATACATTGTATTATTAAATTGTCTGAATGATTTTAAAATTTAGCTGTTCTTGGAATATTTTAGGTTTACAAGTTGTAAGTATATTTTATTTATGAATTATCACATTTATTCAGTAGTTAATAAAAAATATCCATAGAATAATAATTATTCTATGCATATTTTTTCCTACTGAAAATTATTTTAGTAGGTACCTATTTGATAAAAATACTAAAATATTATAAATTAATTTGGAAATAATTCATTGATAATTAAACGGATTATAATATAATCACTGATTATTAATCAGTTTAATATATTTATTATTTCGTAGAATAAAAATTATATTAAATTATTTATAATTGAAGACTTGAAATCAGGAATTAGAACCGAACCGAAAAAAATCAGTTTTAAGACCGGAATCCTTTTAAATATGATTAATCCGAAACCGTTTCTGGAATACAAATCCATAGAACCTTTAAAATCCGAAACCTACTAAAAATAAGGGTTAAGTGTTCCGATTAAACAATATTAGGTATTGAATTTTGAAATAATAAATTGCAATATAAATGAGTTATTTCTAAAGTTAATTTAAATAATTTTCGTGGAGATAAATATCGTTTAAGTAACTAAGCGATAACACAGGTTAATATAATAATTCCATAGTTAGTTAAAACGCCATAATTATATGATAAGAATTGTTCACTTGTGGCTAATATTATTTAAAATTTATATTATATAAAAAATATTATTTTAATACTAAAAAATATTGAAAATATTTGACTTAAAAAGCAACAAAAAATTACTAAAAAATCGCAATTTATCAACGCTATACTTTTGTAAACTGTCAAAATGTGATAATCGGCTAGAAGATGATAAAATCATTTAGTGATAAGGTTATAAGAGGTATATCATATATCTTAAAAATAACATGTTATCCTTATAAGATCCATGGGGTATATAAGGGAGTTTTTTTCGGTTGGAGTTTCATTATACTGTTAGCGTTGATAATGGTAACTGTTAAAAGTAGTAGTCATTATCTTTGCATCAGTCGGTATTAATAGCATATTGAATACTCAATAGTAGTGTTAGTGCTATGATTGACGGTGGTGTGTATCCCCGCTGGTCTTCCATTACAACTTGGCCGGCGGTTGGTGCCTTATGGACTACGATGTTGTGGTTTTGCTAGTGATGTATTCGTTTTTACCTTCATCGACCTTATATAGTTATTTCGTTGGAGGTGAACCAGTGTCGTGTTTTTTTTTGTGACTGGTGCAGTATCATTTGCATCAATTGTATTAGTTTTAAACATTAACCGAATCTCTTATGTGAGCAAGTTATGGAGTAATTATCAATAGACTCCATTAAATACAATTAATTATAATTAATTGTATTTGTTTTTGTTGTATTGGTTGTTTATATTGACACATTTGTTCGTTGTATGGAATCTAATTCCATTAGTTCAAATTCAACAGATGCTGATCACGTTCAGAAGTTTAAGGTCAAGAGTTTGAAATTCAGGTTGGATTAATTCGTTTTTTTTTTTGTAATTTTTTGAGTTTATATTAAATTCTGTTTTGCTCCGAAGATTTAGTGAGGACGCCCAATAATATTTATTATAAATAAAAACTGAAAATATATCATTGTCGTAACGATAATGTTAATATATGTAATTATTTATTTGTCATTTTGACCAACCTTTTATTAAGGAGTTAGATGTAAAAACAGTAACACTGTTCCCGAATACATATCCACGAGTTTTTTTTAGTAATTTTTGTAACTTTTGATTTAAATATTCTTTAGTTTTTTATGTTATATTTTTAATTTTATATAATATTAGCTGCAAATGATGAATCCTTATTTTATTGATAATAATTATTATTACTATAATGGTCTTCATTTTTATAGGTAGATATTTTTATTAAATATTTTTTACACAGTACCCTCTAAAAAAGTTCAGTCGTATAAGAAAATAATTTATGCAAATTTGGAAGGTTTTACTCAACCTTGTTGAACTTTTTATTCCCAAATATTGGAAAAAAATGCAATCAAATTTTAGAAATTCAGACAATTATACTAAATTACACATTAAAATCAAATCAGTGAAAAAAAAAACTTTTTAATGATTATAGATCAATATATAATTTACTAAACCAAATTTTTATGCTGAAATTAGATTTTTTTCTATCACCTTTTTGAGAATAATACTAATTAGAACGACATGAAGAAATTAATTTAAAATTTTTTTTTTTCTAGTTATTGATTTTTAATATGTTAAAAAAAATACTTGCAAAACTCAAAATATCATTTTTAACTAATTTTTTTGATCCATTAAAGTTGTTTTTTATGAAAATGTATAATTTAAAAATGTTGAACTTTAAAACACAATTATAGCTCAACTTGCAAGTTTAAAATTTATATCATAAAATAGAAAAAAAAAAAAACGATATTTTGAAATTTAGTTTTGAACAATTGCAAAAATACCAACCTCGAATTGAATTTTAGAATTAGTCGTAATATTTTTTGGTGAAAAATAGTTTACATAGTAATATAATACATATAATATTATATACATATAATAGGTTACATAGAATTTATTTTAAAATTCATGCTCGTTGGATAGCCAAGGCCATTTATTGTTTGAAATTTTTTTTTGTTTCGGGGCCAATTTGAATTGTCAATCAAAGAGTTAAATAATATTCGTTCATTATGTATTTTTATTACAAGTTTAAAAAAACCCAGCACAGGGGGGTCGCGGCACAGTGGTGACATGGCATAGTTGGATCAAGTATAATGATATCTGACAGTGATTAAAATCACTATCAAAAATAAACGCTTCGATGCAAATCTTTGATAGTGTTTAATTTTAAAAAAATTGGTGTTTTATTCCAAAAGCTACTTGATCTGCTGGTTCCTTATTACTATCCTGATTAAGATAAAGTATGTCGAATGAAAAAGAGTTTATTAAAAAATATTATTTCTCATAAAAAAATTGTGTGGATC